TAAAATAAAATTTCTTCTCTCAATTTTATTTGCTTAGTTCTTTAGGCTAACCAGAAACGTAAGTAACTGTGTATAACCAACCGTAATGCTATCAGTGTTACACCGAAGTATTAAGATACGTGAATGTCGGTCACAAACTATTTTAAATACTCTCCAGACGGATCGCATAGTTTCAGAACTATACCGGGTCCTTCGTGATCGTGGTCGGTTCAACGACTAATAGTGGCGATATCTGAACTGTCGACCGTAGTTATAGAAAGATCTACTTTCAATAGGGTTGCAGGTGTACAACGCATCTCCTCGTGTACCGCTTGGACACGTACACACAGCTATGTGGCGTCTCGGCGTGCAAGACGCGGTTGGTCCGCACTCTTTACCGGTGCAAGGGTTTCGGCACGTGAAGTCAATGCACGCCTTGCTGTCGGGGCATTCGCTGTCCGTGAAGCATTCTCCCCTCTGACAACTAACCAACGCGTTACCGATGTAACCAGTAGGACACGTGCACACGGGCCTTTCTTTCCCTGTATTATCGTGTCCTGGCGTGCAAATCGCGTTCGCTCCGCAAGGATTTGGTTCGCACAAATCCCCTAATCGTATCAATAAATCTCTGATTAAACCCCGGAACATTCAGCGTCCCGTCTGCTACGTGACACATCCACTTACTCGCTTCGAACAGTCTGCAGCTAACGAAGGGGTTGCCGGTCATGTGTTTCGGGCAGCTACAGACCGGTGTGATATCCCTCAAATTGCAATCAGCGTTCACACCGCATACCCCGTCGCAAGGATTCATGCATTTCTGATAAAGACAGGCTGGTTTGTTACCTGGACACTCCGAGTGCGACGTGCATTCCGGCCGACAAGACAGCAGAGGGTTACCCAGCCAATTCTGTAACGGAACACACAGTCGGTTCTCAGGCTCTCCACGGGTTGCTTAGATTTTAACCTTTTGCACTCGGGAGATGACTCTCTCCGTCACCACCTGACTTGACGCGGTAAAACTATAAAATCTGATATTTAACTTTGTAATAAAATAGCTTTGTCCTCGATGTACTTTTGATTTCCCATTACGTCAGCTTCAAAGAATATCGTCTTTGTCTTGTCAGAAAATGTGAAATATTTCTAACGAGAAACTTCCGAGTGCAAAGGGTTAAAGGTCTAGGCAGTAAGTCACCTTCGGACAGCTGCACACAGCTTGATGATTGACCACCTTGCATTCGGCACTCGTGCCACATTTGCACGGGCTCTCACACCTGAAGGAAGACGAGCAGGCAAGGTGGCTCGGGCATTCGCTGTTGCTCTCGCACTCGTGACGGCAACCGGTCAACGGAGATCCTATGTACCCCGGCAAGCAGCTGCAGACCGTCACTTCGTTTATCACCTCGCACTTGGTGTTCAGTCCGCATGGATTCGGCTTGCACGCAGCCTCTGCAAGCGGTCGGTTATAGAAAAATTCTTTCTGACTATGTCATCATTCTAGCAGCAATTGGATCAAGTTTTCCAATGTGCGCACAGTACACGTACGGGGGTCAGCCACGCGGCAAGCCGTGAAGGGATCTCCAGTCATTCCAGGCGGACAGTAACACGTCGGCACATGGTCCCTCGTCTCGCAGACAGCGTCTACGCCGCAGAGGCTGTCGCAAGGGTTCACGCATCTGTTATTCGTGCAAACCTTGCTGCCGCTGCAATCCTCGTTGACTGGCGATTCCGTACATCATTTAATGAACAACGATCTTTCCAATATCAAGTAACGATCACAGAGCCTGTGACCGAGATACTCACTCTGGCATTCCACTCTTACGCAACGCGACAAGGGATCTCCCATGTGCAGGTTCATGCAGGAGCAAACTGGCCTGCCCTCGCTGAGAGTGCATCTCGCGTTCACTCCGCAGGTGTACGCCTCGCAAGTACCTTTTAAATTGACGCTCGATTAATACTACGTTGAACCACTGGTCGAGAGGAAGTCTTGGCTTTTAAGTCCAAGTTCTTTCATTGCTTACCAACGTCTCCAGATGTTAATATTCTTGACTGGTAATATCCACCATTGACTATCGTAACGAATAGGAGAACGAGTATTACGGTGGTCCGCGAAGAATCCATGGTTCTGGGTGATCTGCGGAGAAAGAGGATCACACGTAGACACGCGACAGCCGACTAGCAGACGCTGAAGAGTTTCACAGATCGATGTACGTACGTCGACTGAAGCCTGATCGTGCTCCGCGAGCAGACCAAGCGGATTAACGAGCCCTCCGCCGACGCGGAGATGATCACGGGTGGAATACAAGGTGGGCCCCACCTTTCTCAACCTTCGATCCCACCTCGAATTTTGCCTACGCGTGCCCCTGGCTGTCCTTTGACGGGCCTCGCCCACGTGCGCGGCAGGCATTATCCATTCAAATGTACCAGGAAGCAACGCGGCCGCGAAGAAGCAGAAAAAAACATTGTGCCGCGGGAATATACAATTTCAAGTTCGTCGAGCGTACTGAAAGAATAATTTATTCCTATTGGTGTCGAAAAATAAAAGCAACTTCATCGACGGCTGCTACCTGGCCGGGGTGGAAGCTTCCTGTGCTCCAATTTCCATTGTAGATTAGAGGAGTCTCTAAAAAAGAATGGTTAACACATTGCGTACCGGTAACGAGAAATCTCGTTTTTATATAAAGACACTTTAGCTATGCAACTTCGCTAATTACCGCAGTATTGGAAAAAATATAAAATTTAATTCGAATTGATCATCTATTTAAAATATATTACATAACAATATGATATCTGAGTTTTTCTATGTATAGTGATATAAGCTGACCTCAGTGAAAATTGCCATCCGCGCAATTCAATTTTCTGAACATTAGCCGGTACGCAATGTGTTCAGATACACGTTGATTTGGCATAAAGTTTCTGTGTTGAGATGAAGGTGTTTCTTCGTGGCTGTAGAATGCAGAACGAGCTCCGGAACTGTCCCACGGATGAAGTGTAGATAGCACGGTGAGTAATCGTGTTACAGCTCCACGTTCGTCGAGGCAGACGGTCGTTTCACATACCCTTTCGCGCCAAAAATGGATCTGTTCACAGACAACACGTTAGCGAGTGCATGGCGTGATCATCGACAGAACAGTCATCGCAGACGTAACCGCGTGAACAGGTATAAGTCGTGACATCTTCGAGGCGAATCGAGGCTTTTTGTCGTTTCAGCGCCTACAGAACTGCAATATGTAAATATTGTGATGTCAACGTGATAAACAAGACGTGTGCTTAATAACTGCCTACGATTTATTATAATAATTTAAATAACTTAATAGTTAGTTTCACGTTGTATAACAAACGAATTTGCTTACTTCACCATAGGGATAAATTCATGAGATATTGTTCATTTGTTTTTGTTTTTTTTGTCCAGTTTTATAA